GGGGCAGCTGCAGTTAAGGTGAAATAATACGGAATATAATACATCATTTAGGTGACGCCTGATGGCCAGATGCATTTTTATGCGCTTTTTTTGCATCTATGCAATGCAAAAATGCAGATTAGTCGAGGGGTTGTCTGTATGTTCGTCTGTACCGATTTTTCATCTCGAGACCTACAAAAGCTGGAGGGCTGAAACTTCGGAAACTTAACCTACATGCGCGCGCGGGTCCCCATCCCCAAAATGGTTTCGTGTGGTACCCAGGGTGGTTCCGTCAATGTTTTTGGCGGATAAGCTGCTAACTCGGGAACCAGGAAAGTTGGAAAGCTAAAATTTTAAGAGAATGCTTTTTGACAGTTCTGATGGCCAGTCTCAATTTCTTTAGCTAGAAGCATGTCCGAAAAAAACAGTTCCGTTAGAGGCAAAAACCTGCGAGGAACTATGCAAAAAACGCATCTTCGCACCAGCAGCCGGTGCACCGGCCAGTTATTTTTTTTTATTAATAACCTATTGCTTATAACGGGGGAATAATTCATAATTTGGCATGTCGGAATGGTATTCTCAGGACCGTGAGTGGTTTTTTTTTTTTTTTTTTTTAAATAAATTACAGTTTTTCCTCAATTTATTTTCTGGTTGTTTTGAGTTTATAATTTTTTTTTTAAGGATTTTCCTGCAGTACAGATAAAATGTTGGTTTCAGTCACCGAAAAAACCGGATCAAAAAATGGATGAGACCGGATCGTCATTCCTATCGATGGAGAGGAAAACTGAACTGTCTTCTGCTACCGTGCCTTCAGAAAGCTCGGAGGTAATTGAGACATCCGAAGAAATATCAAATCGATCTGTTGTGTCTGCAAGTATCAAAACGGTATGAGTTTCAGTTTTTCTTTCTTTTTTTTCAAATATTAAGGATATTGAAATTGCCCGAACATCTCTTGTTGAATTTCTATATTAGTGATATTTTTTAAAATCAAAACCTTTCTCTCTTTTGAAAATTTTCTTTCCCCCCTCCTTTCCCCTCCCCTTTCTTCCCCATCCTCACTCCCGCTAAGTTCACGTTGGCGTTTCCCTTTCTTTCCTTCCGTCTTCTCTTTTCTCTTCCTGTTCCACTAAGCACTGCGACCGTCATACCGGCTAGGTCCTGTTGCGGTGTTGAATTAAGACGTATATGATTTAATGGACCGAAATATCTTATCTCAGTTTTGCCTTCTTTTCTCATACTGTTCTTTCTTCCTGTATTCTTTCGCGCCTTCGCCACTTAGGCTTTAGGGGTCCCCTGGTTGCTACACTCGGCTAACTGAGACACTGCCGCTCATGAAACACAGCTTTGCCTAGCCGTTCGATGCTGAACGGGTTATCTCCAGGTTGTACCTTGCGGGGTATCCAATACATATGCACCAACCAGAGGTTTTCACCGGCATGATTTTTTGCATATTTTTTGTATTACTTCGTTTGTGCCGAAAGGCACGGTGCAATGAAAAGTAGCGTTGTTGTGCAGCGGGGTCGAATCCACCGATGTAATAATCGATCTCTCCGATATTTCATTCGTTTTGATGGAAAATTGGTACTTGCGTGTCCACAAAAATTCAAACCTTCCATTAGTTGGACTGCAAAGCAGTCTCAGAAAGAGGGAGCCATCGATAGTCTTGCCAACAAGGTCCTTTTGCCTTTAATATCTGCTGTCACTTGGACTATTTATAGAATACCCTTGCCTTCCCGAGAGGGGATTTTGACTTGAATTCATATATGAGTTGAGATTTTTCAGCGAGTTTTTAATTTTTTGAGTTTTTAATTTTGAGTTTTTAGTTAATTAATTAATTTTAATTTCTTTCAATGGGTTTCAACTATGGGTTGAGAACTTCAGGAACTGGAAAGTCTTGCTGAAGAATGTGAAACGGCAAAAGAGCCAGAAGAAGCTGAGATGAAGGACGACTCTCGAACTGAAGCACGCAGCAGCCCTCAATCAATGTGCAGTGCAGCTAGTGCTAGACCTCAATCGCCTCCTGCTGCTGGAACCAACCATGATAAACCTCAATCGCCTGACGGTGAAGCCAGCAGTGGCCCTCAGTCGCCTCGAATTGTTGAAGAAGGTGAAACTCCCCAGTCAACTGACATTGGTGCCTGCCACGAAATGGATCAACATGAGACGCCTAAGTCACCGGAACTGAATCCTGATCATCAGCCACAAGCGATTGCTGAAGTTAGTGCGCGAAAGGAAGCAGTAAGTTTTTTGTATGTTTGGGGCCATAATGTTATTTTTATTTCGAGCACTCGCTTTGGCGCAAAATTTAGCAGAAAATTCCGGCCTAGTACTTTATTGGAAGGATTAACACCCCAGCTAGCTCTGAGCGCTATTCTGTGGGATTTTTTAGGGATACTGAATTTTATGGAAATTCGGAAAGTAGGCAAGAAAAAAAGATGATTAGAAAAATTGATCACTGTTAGTCCTTGTAAAGAATTTGTTTTTTCTAGTGAAATTTGAGATCCCCGCCATGTTCGCCCAGAGGAGATGGAGGTACTCAGGGAGTAATTCATGTAGCATGGTCTTCTTGATTCCTCGGTATTTGCTTTAGTCAAACGATTGATCCGGTATGGCTAATGGGGGAAAAAAAACTGAGAATTACAGCTGATCCGGGCACTGAGAGAAAGGAAGAAAGAAGGGGGAGAGGGGTAGAAAAAAGACTCCAGTAAGTTCTTTGCGGATCCCTCCGTATCAGAATTTACCGTTACTGTAAGGTAAAGGGACTATTGTGAGACGGAGGGGAGAGGTGGGAGAAAGGCAGGATCGAGGAGCGGAAAAGCCTGAAGCGTTGGAAAAAGTATCATGATTGACAGTTAAGCTTACAAAGATTTTTAGTTAATAAGTGGCGTTTTGGCTTTTTTGGCTCAACATAAAATTGTTTCGTTGGGTTGGGACGCCCACAAGAATACGACAACTGGAAATTGTGACGAGGAGTTACGATAGGAGGGAGAAGAGGGAGGAAAAAAAAGGTAGGGGCAGGGGGCGGGGGGAGAGGGGAGTGAAATAACAACAGCTGCCTGATATTTGCCTGATACAGTTGTGACTGATAGAGCAGTAGTTTACATATATTTTAAGGTCTCGAAAGATAAAGGGACGGAGGTTTGGGGACTGTATGGATGAGTCAAACATTTCTGGCTCCATTGTTTTGCCAGACGTGTAAGTCAGGGAAGGGCGAAGAAGTGGCGGCGGTAGGGAGGGGGCGGAGGG